GGCTCTGTCTGGTTGGAGGAGCATAGGTACTTCAGTCCAAGTCAGTAACAACACTAAGTGAGAGGGACTCTTAGACCTAGGAAGAGCAACATGGTAGAGGGCTAAGGTGGTGATCAGAAAGGGCGAGCAGTGCTCGGAAGTTTAGGAAAGGGGATAGAGTATCGCAGGTGCCTATGGTGGCCAGCATGGCCCAAACCACCAGCCTGGAGATTGGAGGGGAGGGAGGAGCACTGGCAGGTCAGGGCATGGCCAAAACTAGAGGACAATCGGGGTATTAGGTCTTGGAAACAAGTACAAGTCTAGTTACCAGGCTTCGGAGACTCTGCTGGGATCAGATGAGCAGAAAGAGTAGGTGTTACAGAGCCTTGGTTATCACCCAACAAGGCCGGACTTTATCCTGTGTACATGCGATGTCACCTGGAGAGCTGCTCCAGTACACATGTGGTGTGCTACAGTTACAATAAACTGAGCTGGCATCATGTCTTCTTTCTAATAATCTCTCCAAAGCCCAGGGTGTTGGAATGATCTTTTATGCACAAAAGTGAGTGAATGCAAGGTTAGCCTACAGTAATGTCACTTTTACTCGCACTTGCTTTATCGAACAGGAGAGTAAGAGATACAGAGGCAGCCAGCACGCTGGCACAGCCCTGGGGACATCGTGTGAATATGCCATACCTGTCAATATCAGTTTATCTCTCACAATCAAGAGAGGACAGACAGTTCCCCTCAGGGACAATGGGAGCTGGTCTGAGGGCGTGCAGGGGTGAGGCAAAGAACAACTCTGTGTTATTGTACAGCCTTCTACGCTATTTATATTTCCTTGTTTTGTTATTCATTGTATATTTTAATATTTTTCTACGCCGCATATATATGTATGCATACATTTGTATGAATGTGTATAAATGCATACATGTGTATACATTTGTATGCATATATAAATGTATACATGTGTCTATATGTATACATGGCACAGCAAAATAATGAAATATACATTATAGAACAAAATAATATAGATACGAGAGGACTTCAAAAAGTTTATGAGAAGTGGAATTAAGGTACAAGTTTATATGGGTGCAAAAAAATTAAAATCCATGCAGTTTTTTTCATAATACACATTTTCTATAAACTTTTAAAGACCCCTTATATTTATATTATAAATTATAATTATAGAATATATATTATAGCTATATAATGTATTATAATTATATATTTATATATCTATTATAAATCTGAGGAAACAAGTGTATTAAATTTGACTATCAGGTTATTAGTCCCACACTCTGTTTTGTCACTGCCAGAAAATCAAGGCATTCTAAATGGCAGATTTAAGAATTTAGAAAAAATAAAAATAACAGTGATCGTAACCAAGGACCGTTTAATGTGGTCATAAAGAGGTCCCTACACCTCTCAAGAAGCGTTATAATGCAGTAAATGTTAGGCGTTCCAGGGCCAGTGGAGATGCCAAGACCTCCAGTTAAGATCAGAGTATTCCACCACACTCTGTTGAAGGAGGCAGGGAGCCAAGTGAGATTCTGAACAAAAGTGGCGAAAATCACAAGTGAAAGAAGGCCTCATGCTTACGTGCCTTACCTTTGTAGCACTTAAGCTGTGAGAATTTCCTTCTTCCGTGCTCATTAGACCTCCCAAGCTGTGAGGGCCAGGACCATACCTATGTCATTCAGCATTTGCCCCTGGAGGAAGTGACTTTCATGGTGGCTCTTCTTCCTCAAGCCACCTAAGATTTTCCATCTACTCTAGACCAAGCCCCAGGAGTGGGTCTGGCCCCAGGAGCGGCCTGCCTTGGATGGAGTGAGGGGCGCTCTCCTTCCCAGTTGGACCTCTAAAATGCTTTTCACGAGTCCCACATCACACTGGAGAGCTTCGTCCTCTGCCCTCCTTCCTCAGTTCCACTCGGCTGCCAGGATATAAACACTAGAAATGTCTGTTTTGGTGCTGGGAAGAAAGTTAAAACTTAGTGCAAAATCTCAGAACTACCTCAAACCATAAAGGTTGGGTTTCTTATGAAATTGGGTCCTGGGTCTCTCCAGTTTTCTAGGCAGAGAACTAGAAAAAGGCCATAGACTAGAAACAGAGAAGTAGGAGCTTCATGACTGTTGGTTAAATTCACAGCCTATCCCGGTGCCCAGTAGCTTTTGGGGGATAAGGTTGACCTGGGCTTATCCAGTGATAAATCTTATGAGGGGTTCCCAGCATCCACCAGAAAGCCCAGAACCCCTAACAGACAAAAAGACAGCCAAATCTCATGAGTTGGGGTGGAGAGGACTCCACACATGGGCTCCATTGATAGACTTACACGCCAAGGTCATTGCCTGGACTCGACCCACTTGGGGAGGCCTTACCTTAACCCTCCTTCCCCTCTTTTCTCTCCCTATATCTCCTCCCCTTCCCCTCTGTCCCCTCCTCTTTCCTACCACCCTCCTTTCTCTTCTCACTCTGCTCTCTTTCCTTCTTCATCTTCCCTGGCTCACTTTTCTTTCTCTCCTCCCTTTTCCCTTCTTACCCCTCCTCCATCTCACATGAACTAGATGGAATTGTTTGTTCTCTGAGAATCAAATGGAGGACCCCTCCAGAGGCCCTTCCCAGTTACCCAGAAGCCAAAAGTTTAGCATGCAGTAAAGTTACTCATGCCACCCCCTCAGAGAGGGCTGTTAGGGTATAGAGGACCCTAAGTTTTGAACGGCCAGGGTATTGTAAACCAGTGCTTCTTCACTGTCACCGTTCTTTTGCAAACTAGCACGTATGCCTGATGAGTGGCTTTAGCCTTCCCTCCCCGACCCAGTGGACAGGACTGGAAAATGATTAGAGTGTTTATGAGGCTAGAGCCTCAGCTAAGGCTGGAGCTGAGGGTCTTGCAAATGTGCCTTTCACCGGAAGAACTCTGGCCGAGAGCTTGAGCCAACCTCCCTTCCCCCCACCTCCTTCTTGCCGCCCCCCCCCCCCAAGACACAAGCAGAGATGCACTCTCCAGGCAGAGGAAGTTCAAGCTTCTGGGCCCCTCACTTGCTCTGGTCCTTCCAAGGCACTGGGAAGAGCCCCAGCACTGAGTTCCCATGGTCCCGTGTTTTTCTAAGATTTGCACAAGGAATTTATTTGAAACACAACTGAGTTCAATCACTGTCTCTTTCTGCTAAGCTTCCCTTTCTCGTACTTCCCCCGGCCCATGGCACTGGGGTGGCTGTGGGCATTTTGGGGGCTGCAACAGGTGCTGGAAGCTGCACTGGCAATGCATTTCATGCGGACTGAGTCAGATACTGGGGGGAGCTGCAGCCACTTCTGTGTGTGGAAACGTCACCCCTGACCATCCTGGGGTAGCAGAGGCTTCCTGGAACCATCCACAGGCAAAATTAAATGCAAACGTCTCCTATGGAAGCTGGCTTCCGAAGTCTGGGAGTTGTGGAGGAAGAACAAGGTTTGAAATGCATTGAGCCCAAAGCGAGTCTGTGGAAAATTCTCTCAATCAGAAGATGTGTACAATTTGGTTTTCATCGATGCCCTGTCAAAATGGAAATTGAAGAACGTATTCAGTGAGGAAGCATGTACACTGATAAGCACACCGTGAATTGTTTATGAGAATCGCGTGAAATGAAATGTATCAGGGATCTGGCATTTGCCGGGCATTCCCCCATAGCAGTACTATGCACTGCTAGCAGGGCTGTGTGTAAGGAATCATGCTTTACTCCTCCCAGCTATCAATAACTGTGATCAGTCTTGCTAGAGGAAGACTGCCTTATCTCTCTGTTCTCTCTCCTACAAAATCATTCTCCTATAAAGACAGCATCAACGTATGCAGACAAAAATTACAGGAGAAAATGTTACTTTAAAGGTGTAGCAGGCCATTAATGAAAACATTATGGTGTTTTTTTTCTCAATTTTGAGATGTTTATTCTATATGCCAGCTTTCAAAAATATTGGATTTTTGGGACCAGCAATTAGCATAATGGCTATGTCTCTGGACTCCCACGTAGTCGACCGCGGTTCGCGTCCCGGACCAGGTGGCTTAAAACTCATGCCGGGTGCGTGTGCGTGCATGCCCAAGATCCCGAGAGGAGAACAGAGGAGAAGGGATTGTGGTGTGGCCACCCCTCTGGAACAAAGAATTCTCACTTTCTGTCTCTCTGTCTCTGTCTGTCTGGCGAGCACACGCGCCCTATAGCGAAAACCTCTCCCCCCACCAAAAAAATATATATATTGGATTTTGACCAGCCTGTGGTGCAGTCATAGCTTTCTAGACTGCAGTACTGGAAGCCACATGACCAACAGAGGTGTGGACCCTGAGCTCAGTCACCCTGAAACATGCCAGTCACATGCACACATGTGTCCACACCCAAGATCCTGATGACCTGGAGTACTGGGGGAAGGGGGTCATGGTGGGACCCAACCCTGATGAGGATGCTTCTCTCTCTCTTTCTTTCGTGCATGCACGCACTCTTTTTCGTGAATAAAAAATAAATAAAACTTTTTTTAAGTATGCATGTTTTTGTCATTTATTTTCTCCTTCTAAAAGTCACTTTCATTCCCAATTGTGTATTTGTGTCTTTAAATTATTTGCTTAAAGAGCACCTTCAAGTCACATCAGCTCAGGCTCCACATCCTAGATGCCCTCTGGCATCAGTGAGTATCTGGACAGAGGTTCAGTTTTCTCTGCCTTGGGGAGCCCGCTCCACGCTGGAGCCATTCCCAGGGCAGTTTGGTCAGTGGGTCGTGCAAGAGCACCAGGTTGCCTTTCTTCCAGAATCAGTGCTACAGAGATCTGTTCCCTGGTAGTTCCTATCCCAAGTCTCAGAGCCCCTGCTCTTGGCGGAAAAGACAGGATCAAAGAGCTGTTGATGTTTAGTCTCTCCAGCTGAACAAGTCCTCATGGCTTTCTGCCACAACTTTGCACAGATTCACATCAGGTTTGGATCAGCTTATCTGACACACAAGACCATCTTGTCTCTTCTGCAGCAGGGTGTTTACCAGATTTTTGTTTTCTTCAACAGAGTTGGTGTGGACCTGGAAGAAAATCTGAAGGAGGAACCCTCTTCACACCAGGCAAGTCAAAGAAGCCAGTGCGTAGGATACAGAGATAGGAGAGCTTCTGTTCCGTTGAATGTTCCATTGAATGTTCCATGCTTTTCCAGCATGGGGCCAGGGAGTTCATGCTAAATGAGGCTACCTCTGCTGAATTAGAAAAAAAAAAAAATAGATGACCATAAGATAGGAATTCAGGATGTTGATAACTTTCAGCTTACAACTAATGTGTACTCACAGCCCCTTTATGGTAGCAGGAGGCCTAGAAATTTCAATATAGAGGCAAGACCATGGCATTTGGTGCCAGGACCCCATGGTTCCAATTCCTGCCCAGCAACTTGCTAACTTTGTGATCTCGGTGAAATTTACTCAAAGCGTATCCAATGACTGTCATACAACACAACAAATAGACTTGTTTCTCTTGCATTGTTCTTATTAATAAGGTCAAAGTGTACAAAACAGGCCAATGACAGTGAAACTGTCTGGGTGATTTATTCTTATCTTAAGAAGCAACAATTAGCTACAGAGTCAACATCTTTCGGGAAAATTGTTCAGAACATTGTGTTGTTCCTCAAGTACGGGAAATGTATTCTCCAAATTCTAAACTGGAACCTGACATCAAGTAGAATATGTCATTGGCAATTTCACGTTAACCATTTTTAACTTCAAACAAATGTGTGGAAATTTTAGACCTTTCACTAGGCAGACACAATAGGCTAAGACTATAAATAAGCGATGTTGCTGAATGGGTTGTGTTATGCGCATATTTGGAATTGAAGAGGATCTTTCTCTTAGTTTATGAGGGTTCTTTTCCTATTATGCCATCGATGAGGCACAGCTGTTTAGCATACTCGGGCAAGATGCTGCTTTCCTGGTTCCACAGATAAAAAGAAGGACGAGGCCGGTCCGCTGCAGAAAAACCTGGGAAATTAAGTTGGTGACGATCCTGGCTCTCGTGTACTTTGAATTGTTTGGTCACATCTGTTCCAAGCCCAGGCTGTGCTGCTTTCACAGATTTTACTAGTCAGGAAACATCCTTAACCACCTTAACCACAGGATTGAGCACAGCAGGGGCGTCTGAGGCGCTGAGATTAGGGCAAATCTGTGACCTTAGAAAGAGATCGAAGCCCATCTCCTTACGCTGGCCGGCACCCATGAGGAGTCAGTAATGTCTGCGGTGGCTGATTTTTAAAAAGCAGTTTCATCTTGCATAGGTCAAATAATCCATCCTCCTACCTTCAAGCAAAACTTTTATCTAAATTTTGTCTTTCTCTTACACCTTTTTCTTTAACAGGATAAAAAGTTAGAATAAGACAATTCATCAAAGAGAAATCACTACAGTCCTCTGTCTAATAATTTACAGTCACATGTAATTATTGGTAAAACAGAAAATCCCATCTTAACTCCTTTTACAGTTTAAATGCACTTTACCTTAGTTACTTCAGGTGGTGGTTTCCAACAAAGCTCACCATTGTCATTCAGTAATAACTCTTACCTTAAGCTACAATGGCAGTAAAAGAATGGCACAGCATAGAGCAGTAAAAGCTCTGTGAGGTTTGGATCTTGGGCAAGGTTTTTACATGTCTGATTCTGTTTCCCTGTCTGTACAATGTGAATAAGAGTGTCCACCTCTCCGGGCTCTTATGACAATCTAGGGAAATTAGGTTGATGAAAATTACCCAACTTAATTAACATAAAGCCATCCCATTTTATACAATATCTGAAGCGCTTTAATTACTACAGTTAATAAAATCATAATGCGATATTTTCAAGAACTTTAAAATCTAGGGACCAGCAGTTAGCGTAATGGCTATGTTGCTGGACTCCCATGTAGTCGACCGCGGTTCAAGTCCTGAACCTGGTTGCATGCGTGCCCAAGATCCCAAGGGGAGAATGGAGGAGAAGGGATTGTGGTGTGGCCAACCCCTCTGGGGGTTGATTTCTCACCTTCTATCTCTCTGTCTCTCTCTGTCTTTCTGGCAAGCACATGCACCCAATAAGAAAAAAACTCTCCAAAAAAAGGGAAAAAAAAGAATTTTAAAATCTAGAATCTAGTAACAGATATAAGTAAAAGCAGGAAGTCCAAGCAAGAGAGGTAAGAAAAATCACAAATAAATAGAACATAAGGACTTACCTACTTGTGGTAGTAAAACCACAGTAAGCTTGCTGTTAACCAAAGCCGGGGGGCGGGGATAGAAATATCCTAAATTTTATCATTAAAGGGAAAAGTCATACCTTCTCAACTGGCACCAAACCTCACAGGTCACTCTGTGTTAAAAGCAATTTCTCATTTGGGGTCTTCTGTAGTGAATACATGAAGATCTGTTCAGATCTCATTGCTGTACTAATATTCAGTAACTAGCACTATAATTTACATGGTTCCTACTGAACTGATGTGTTATTCACACTCACGTCCAAAACCCAGAGTAGTTCATTTCAGAAAGACGTCTTCTCCACCCACTGGGATAATTCTTCAGTGTCAAGTACAGGAAGCAGTGGGCTCACACCGGAAGTAACGAGCCATCGTGTCTGTGTAACTGCCAGTTGACCCAGACGGTTTTTTCTGGTACTTTCCAAACCAACAGTCAAGACTCTCTCTACCCTCACTTCATGTGGCAACACCTTCATTACGAGCATCTGTTACTCCATTGAACTTCAGAGCAAGCCCTAACTCTTAGGAGAATTTTGCAAGTTTCACTTGATTTGAATTTATTAAACTGGGTTTCTATTAACAAAAAGGATAAACTTTGCACACCAGTCAACCTTAAAAAAAAAAAAATCCTATCTTACCAACAGCTAAAAGTTTTTTAGGTAATTATAGTCACTATGGATCAGACAGACTCTCAAAATCAAAATGAAACATTATTACAGGGACATGGTTTTTAAGGAATTTCCTGCTTCTCTGTTTGTGGAATATAAAATAATCTTTGGAACTATGAATGTGTAGATGTAACTAACTAGTTATGTCACGATTTTCCTTTTTCCTTGTAACACCTGGAGAACACAAACGGCGTTACGCTCTTATTTGTGCCAGGTACAGACACGTTGGAGAGCAAGCTCCATATGCAGGCGTTAAACTTTAAACACATGCTCTGTGCAAACATGCTACTTTGAGAAATGGAACGTATTGCAGTTGTGAATCTTATGTCTTTTAACCATGAAAAAAAAAAAAGAAAGGAAGGAAGGAAGGAAGGAAGGAAGGAAGGAAGGAAGAAAGAAAGAAAGAAAGAAAGAAAGAAAGAAAGAAAGAAAGAAAGAAAGAAAAGCACAGAGAGAGAGAGAGAGAGAGAGAGAGAGAGAAAGAGACCCTTCCCCTCAATTAGGAAGTTTTCTGTGTAATTGTTTTCTTATCCTTGAATGCATACCTTTTCTGAGTATGGGAGACTCTCTGGAATATCACCGTCAATCTTTTAATAGAAAATTCCTGCTTCTCAGAAAGGACCTTTGGAGACCAGCAGATGGCATAATGGTTGCTGGGCTCCCATTCAGTAGACCACAGTTCAAGGTCTGGACCTAACAGCTTAAAACTCACACTGGGCATGTGTATGTGCATGCCCAAAATCCCAAGAGGAGAATAGAGGAAAAAGGATTGTGGCATGGCCATCCCTCCTGGGGGGGGTAGAGGGGCGTGATTTCTCACTTTCTGTCTCCCTTTCTCTCTCTGTCTCTCCAGAGAGTACACACACCCTATAGCAAAAATCTCTCTTTCAAAAAAAAGGAGGGGAACGTTTGGGACTGCCTCCTTGACTAGCGACTGGAGGAGCCAGGTTCCACATGGCTGACCAAGCAGTTCAAGTTCCACCCAAGTGGCTTGAAAAACACACCAGGTGCATGTGTGTGCATCCCAACATTCTGAAGGATGGAGAAGGGGAAGAGGGGGGATTGCAGCATGATCACACCCCATGGGAGAGTGCTTTCTCCCTCCCTCCCTCTGTCTTTCTGTCTCTAGAGAGCATGTGCACCTAATGGCAATTGAAAAAAAAAAGTTTCAGTATTACTTCTTTTTCCCTTTTTGCCATTTCATCTTAATAATCCTAATATTTGTTGAGCACTTACTATTACTGTTTTGAACCATGTTAAGAACAATATTAGTATTGTTCTAAGTATTTTATATGTGTTATTTCACTTAACTCCCTATATAACCCTGGGTAGGTACTGTTAAATTCTACTCGTACAAGTAAGGCAATTATATTCAGCAAATACAATTAACTCTCTCATGAGCATATCGAAGGAAGTGGAATTGGAACTCAAACAATTTGGTTCCCAAACTTCTTCTCTTTACTGGAATACATGGATGTCTTCAATCGTCCACACAATTATTAGCACCTACCCATACAGGCACTGAGCTAAATGTGCGGAAGATTCAGCAGTCACCTTCAGTCTTCACCCTCGCAGAGCTTACACTCTAATGGGAGACACTGATAAGATGGTAAACAACTAAGCACGGTAAATTCAGAGAGAAATTATAATAAAGCACGTAAAGGAGACCAGTGGCAGGGAAGCTACTGGCCAGCAAAGGGACATGAAGAAGCAAGCCAGGTAAGATCAAGGGGGAATGGTCCAGGTGGAGGATACAGCAAGGATGAAAGCCTTGGAGTCACAACGGGTTGTGATATACCCCAAGAGAGTCAGGAAGACAGGCATGGCTGGAGCCAAGGAAGCATGGCGGGAGCTGATGGACGTGAACTGGGGAGATTTACAGAGGCAGAGCGTTGGCCATGTTGCTGAGTATGATTTTATTCTAGTGTAATGGGCCCCTTCAGCAGTTTGGAACTTGGATGCAATAAAATAAAATTTTGTCGTTTAGGCCCAGCCATGGTGACAGGGATGTTAACACACTGCTGCCCCACAGGCTGAGGTCACATGGGAAACCCAGGTTCGATTCTAACCTGACTCAAAGCCCAGCACAGTGGTACATGCCTGTAATCCCAGCCACGGGAAGGCTGAGGCCGGAACATGGCAAGCTCCTGACCTGGTCAGCACAGCAAGACTCTGTCCAAAGAGCCAGAAGTGCTGGTGTG